TCTCTCTCTCTCTCTCTCTCTCTCTCTCTCTCTCTCTCCCCCTCTATCTGTTTCTTTCTCGTCCTTGCGATACACCACACCACTCAGCGTCGAGAGTAACAAGTGAGCCGGCCAGGCACCGGCGACACGAAAACTTGCCGAGTTGCGGGTGCGCGAACGGGGCGGGTCGGGTCGGCGTGTGGTTGTCCTAGAGCCGTCTGGGGCCACGCAGCCTGCCTCTGCTCATTCCGTGAATGGAATGTGTTATTGGCCGAAAGTGGCAAAGTAGTTTAAATTAATCAAAAGAGAGCGTTGGGGGCGTTGAGCCTCCCGCCCCCCCTCCCCCCTCCCTGCGCTCTCTCTGCTCCGAGGGTGTTCAAAAAGTTGGACGGAGTGCGCGGCGCGGAGATTAAATTTGAAATCACTTAAACTTCCTTCGACGCTTCCTTTCTGCGCGGGCGGCGCCGCGGTGGCCAGGGCTGCCGCCTACCCTGTAGGACCCCGACGCCATGCACTATATGACCCTATTCCCCATATACCCCCCCCCCCCTCGCCCCAACCCCATTCCGTCCGCACCCCCATCAAGGCGAATCCCATGAAAACCATTGTAAACTCCATCCTCAGCACCCCGTCCCATCAACCCCCGCCCCCCAAACTGGCCATAGCCTGGCTTCATACCCCTCCTCCCCTCCCCCCTCCCTCCAGCATTCTGCAATGCGTATGTTGTGGCCCCTATACCGGCCGCCCCTGCCGCCAGCTCCTCAGGAGCTAAACGCCGTACCCCCTCCAGCGTGCCTCCTCCCCCGCCATGTACCACCTCGCCTCGCCCCGCCGCCCACCCCGCCTCGTCCCAACCCGTCTCGTTCCGCAGCACCCCTTCGCCCATTCAGAGACGGGAAACTGCCGACAGTACGGTATTCAAGGTGAAGACGGGTCGGTGAAATGCCTGCCTTATATAGAGAAATGTTGCCGATTCGGGGTGAATATGAGGGCGTTTGCACCCCTTTGTTCACGCCCAGCGTGATGTGGCGTAGCGGGACCGCGCGCCGGGCGGGGCGTGACGGGGTGGGGTGGGGCGGGGTGGTGTCGAGCTGTGGACAGTGTGGACGTGTTGGGACGAGCTGGCGGGGGCTGTGGACGCGGTCCTGGCGGCCCGGGCCAAGGAAGCCAACCCTGGTAGCGAAAAATTACAGTGCAACTGATGTACATTACAACAGTACAACATCAAACACAAGGTGCAGAATATCGGTGCGAAATAGGATATGCGAAATGAGATAATCGGTCCAAGGCGGAAATTTGGGCCGAATACGATGGTTACTTTACATTAAAACTAAAACTGCCCAGTTTAAAAATTGATCGAGAAAAGGTGAAATGTAATGCCATTTGGCGTAAATAACGCATATAAAAAGGGGCTATTTCCTACCTTTGTATTTCCACTCTGGAAACCCAAGTGTGTACTTGAACACACAATATTCTGCATACCTACATGTATGCAGAATATTGTGTGTTCAAGTACACACTTGGGTTTCCAGAGCAGTGAGTACATTAAAAAAACTCGAAAAACTAGAACAAAATGTTAGACACAGGTGATTTTGATCAATGAATCTCGATACTCGTCTGACTATCGAAACACATGGTCTGGAGCCCCAATAAATGGCCGATACAAATTTAAAAAAAATCCCCCCAAACGTCCGACAGTTTTAGGTTAAGGCTAGTCGATGTCGCGGGCATTGCCCTCACCGCGGAGCGTAGCGCAGTGCAGCAGGACGGCGGGGTGCAGCACTCGTGCGGCAGGGCGGCGGGGTAGAACAGGGAACAGGCCGACGAGGAAATAAGAAAAACAGGTCGCCGGGGTAAAGCAGGCCAAATGGTGTAAAGCAGAGGACGCTGGGGTACAGGAAGACCGGGGCTCAGAAGAGCTGCGGGTTACAGAAGGAGGAAAAGCGCGGGGCGAGGAGAAAACAGATAAGGGGAAGAGAGGCCGCATAAAGAATAGCGGAGAGACTGACAAATAGTTGTAATTAGTCGCTGGGAAAAAATACTGCTGAAGCGAGCTGTAAGGGAGAGAGAGAAGAAGGAGGGAGGGAGAGGGGGCTCTCTCCTTAGCGAGTTCAGCTCTCGAGGGAGAGTATCGGGCGCGGAGCGGGGAGGGCTGAAGGGGGTGAGCGGGCCGCACGGCACGGCACGGCCCCAGGCCTGCCAGCCTCTCTGCCTGGCCCGCTGCCTCGGTTTGAGAGCGCATCTCGGGGAGACAAATAGTTGCAGCTAGTTAGGGGGCGGGGTGGTGCGGCGGGGT